CGTGTTGACTGACGGGGTTTGGAGATTTAGAGCCTTTAATCTCCCAGTTTTGCGCTCAGCATTCATATTGTTTTGCTTGTTAAAGGAATAGTTCACCCAAATATAGAGATTGTATCATCATTTACTTGTTTCAAGTCTGTACCAAAACGGAAATGCAGGATGACAGCCGCAGCCACCGTTCAATTTAACGGTATGGAAAATAAAATGAACGGTTACTGAATCTGTCAGTCTTTAACATTTCATTTTGTGTTCCAGGAATAAAGTCAGTCATGTGGGTTTCAAACGACATGAGGGTGAGAATTTCTATTTTATTTTTTTACTAATGGTGAACTATCCCTTTAATGCATTAAGCTTTCTCGCTCAAAAACCTACTACAACTGTAACGTTACTAATCCATGAGCAAGGGCAGCATGCATGTGTAGCAGGATTGAGGCGTACAGATAGGATTTTCCTCTGGCTGCGTTCTCATTTCTTACCGTCAAGGGAGAAGCGTAGGTAGAAGTGCTGTTCCTCAGTTGTTCGTAAATTAATTCCTATATCTATAAACGGCCTTCGAGCAGGAGTAAATCAGCCGGCGATACTCGGATACGGCGTCCTAGTCTTATGATCGCGAGCAGCGTCTCCGCTCAATGGTCAATGGGGAGTCGTGCGCTGACGTCACGCTCGAAAGGAAAATGGGCGGAAACTTCTTCTTCTCAAACAGTTTTATGTAGTGAATCTGATTTTGCTTCTGCATATCCTGTATCAGGATCCTTGGATCCATCTGTGAATAAAACCATTGACTGTGGGAAATGTTTCTCAAAATACTTCTGGACTATATACCATATCGGAAGTTGATTAGAATTGTCTTTCAGTTCCTGCTGTATACTAAGGTCAACAGTTGGCAAGGGGAATAACCAGGGAGGAATTGAGGAAATTGATACTGTATTACTGTACTGTAATTGATGTAATCCTATATTTCTTGCTTTAGCATCACCTATGCACCCAAAACTAGTCAAATTTGTTTCATTATGTTCCCAGCATTCTTTTAATACACTTTTGACAGGATGTTTTTCATTTTGTCCTTGGAGATTGACCCAGTATGCCATAATTAATTTTACTCTTCTAATTCTTAATGGCATTTCTCCCATTTCTACCTGAATTGATGATACCGGAGATGATTTAAAAGCCCCACTACAGATTCTCAGGGCCTGAGCTTGTAATACATCTAATTCCTTGAGGTTTGATTCTGCTGCTGACATGTAAGCTATACATCCATAGTCAAGAACAGATCTCATGAGTGCCCAATATATGTTTTGTAGAGATGCTCTACTTGCTCCCCATTCCTGTCCTGATAAACACCGAAGTATGTTGATGACCTTTTTACATTTGTCCTTAATTTTATTCAAATGAACTTTCCATGTTAATTTTCCATCAAACCAAACACCAAGAAACCTAACAGCTTTTACTTGCTCCAGTTGTTGCCCATATAGATTCAAAGAAATGGGTGAGATTTTAAGCCGCCTTGAAAAACAAATAACCTGTGTTTTTCCTACAGATCATTTAAATCCCCATTTATTGGTCCACGTTTCCACTTCATCAATTGCAGCTTGCATTTTCTTATTGACATATGATATATTGCGGCCTCTAATCCACAAAGCCCCGTCATCCGCATACAAAGATCTTCCTACGTTTTGTTCAACCTGAGAGAAAATATCATTAATCATTATGTTGAATAATAACGGACTACACACGTTACCTTGTGGAGTACCATTCTCCGCAGTGTATACTCTTGAGTATTCATAACCTACCCTCACTTGTAATTTTCCTGTTAAATAAAAAGCCCAAAACCTAATGATTTTAATTTGATCAGTAATCCTTCTTTCCAGAGCATATCATAAGCCTTCTCCACATCAAAGAAGACTGCTATTACTACTTCTTTGTTGGTCTGTGCTTTCCTTATGTCTGACTCTAGGCACAATACAGAATCCATTGTATTCCGACCCCTACGAAACCCACTCTGATATGGAGATAAAAGAGTTTTACTTTCCAGGAAGTATGTTATTCTTTCTGTAATCATTCGTTCCATGATTTTGCATAAATGTGAAGTCAAGGCAATTGGTCTGTAACTAGAAGGATCTGATGGGTCTTTCCCTGGTTTAAGAACGGGTACTATTATTGCTTGTTTCCATACTGAAGGAAGTTGTCCAGTCTCCCAAATTTGGTTAAACAGTTTTAATATTATTTCTAACGAGTTATCTGTCATGTGTGCCAACATTTTATAACATACCCCATCTTTCCCTGGAGTAGTCTGTCGAGCACTAATTATCGCTCTTTTTAACTCAAACATGTTTAATGGTAGATCTAATGTATTTCCTGACATCTCATTTTCCTTTAAAATATTAGGATATTCCATTAAGGTTTTATTCCTACTCTGTCTGGCCTCTACTGAAAGATTATCAGAGCTATGAACTTTCAGAAATGTTTGAACTAAAAGTTCAGCCTTTTCTAGGTTGCTAACAGCCATCTTATCTCCATTGTTCATCACTGGCAATTCATAATTTCTTCTGATCCCCCCCATTCTTCTGATCATGCCCCATACATCTGATAGTTGTACTTCTCTTCCAATACTACTGCAATATTGTCTCCAAAATGTACGTTTTTGTATTTTAATTGTTTTCCTTACTATTGCTTGAGCCCTTTTATATTAAATCATAGCCTCCTGAGAATGATGTTTTTTGAGTTGCCTAAATGCTTTATTTCTTGCTTTTATAGCTTCTTTGCACTCGATATTCCACCAGGGTACACTCTTGGAACATCTAACTCCTGTGCTTTTAGGTATTGTTTCCTCAGCTGACAAAACAATTTCATTAACTAGTTTATTGTTAAATACATTTATATCCCTCTGATTCTCCTCTCGTAGAGCCACAAATCTTTTT